TTTTTTTCTTTTCCCCCCATGTTCAGGATTGAGCTAATAATCCCAATACAGAATATCTCTGTACAATTTGAGTTAGTTATAGATCCTTAAGAACTTGAATACATGCCAAAGCTATCTTTGAGAAGAGAGAATACTACCAGCTTTTTAAAAATACGTTTCTTAGTTCCATCAGAAGACTGGCATGTCATTCATTCATGTTTGGAAATAACATGTCTTAAATGATGCCCCCAGATATTAGTGATTCATTCCTTTCTCATTAAGTGGAACAGACTTTCAATGGTGACATAAGAAGAGGACCACAAGGTGACTGAGAAAGAGGACTTTACAGTTAGCTGTGTAAATTACTTCTGCTCCGTATTTCCCCAAACCACCTCCTCCTTTGTGGCAAACCCTGTTCTAGGTCCTGGGAGTGGAACAGAAACCACTGCCTCCTGAAGCTCACTTTCTCAAAGCGCATGATCTACCTACAAAATTCTTTAGCTAAATATCTGAGTTGTGTTTGGCTTTTCTTTGTTTCGGTGTTGAATCTTGGTTTTTCTCAGTAAAGTAGAAAGAAAGGAATGGAGGATGGTTTCTGAAACTTTTGCTTAGAATTTCACATTAATTCCTTAAATGAAATTTCAATAGAGCTGATAGATGGATAAATGGTCCTCATATTCAGAACTCTCTTCTGTGGACGTCTCATGGGACAGAAACTCCCCAAAAGTTGCTCCTTTGTGAAAGTCCTCAGATTGCAAACCTATCTTTGGGAATGAGGGTAATAGGTGATGTGTTAGTAGCACTTAATGAATTAGAGTGAAATAATGTGTGAATGCAAGCAGCTGTCACCAAAGACAGAGCAGGGCCACAGAGACATTAGGTTTTGAAATGTGAAAAGGGCTCAAGGTAGAGAACAAGGTATGGAATTCTAGGTAGCTGGGAGGGACACGGGGACATGAGGTGGAGCTGTGAACACAGGGCAGGAGTTCAAAGACAAACTTCCTTTTCTCTCCGTTCTTGTCTGCTATAACCTTGAGACCTTCTCCAAAATAGCTCTAAGCACCATTTCAAACTTGAGTTTTTATATATTCTAATCAGAATAGGATATAGGGGGAAGCAGGGAAACAGGAAGCACTGGGTAAACATAAAAGTGTTCTCTTTCCTTCTTAAGTATTTAGAGACTTGAACTAAGATTGATTGTGTAGTCTCAAAACGGGGCCTTGATGTGTAGAAATTTGTGTTCTAACGGATTCTTCTGCAAATGGTTGTTGAGTCATGTGATAATCTATAGATATTACTGTCTTCTTAGATATTACTTTTGCAAGAATAAATTTGTTTAGTTGTGTTGAATATCGGTGATCTTCACGGCCTGAATTTAACACTAACAACAGTGACAATAATTTCTGAATTGTTCGTATGAATAGTATCTTAAGCATTTTCTTCTTCAAGGAAACACAGTAAATGTGTTACCAATCTAAGGTGTTTCTTTCTAAAACTGAACTTCCATCTTTTCTCTCGGGTTTCTCTTTTGAGTTGATGGCCACGAATTCTTCCAGACAGTTACCCACACAGGTGTTTGAAATCAAGGGGACCTTCCCACCGGCGGCATTGCTTTTGTGACAGAATGTAATTTATTCTGCCCCTCTGAACTCCACGCTGGTGTTCTTTCCTGTTGCAGGGATTCCGATCACTGAGCTGTGAGTACAAGATGGAAAATGTAACCAGAACGGTAGTGTGTGACCTCGGGAACCCTATGGTGGCTGGAACGAATGTAAGAGAAAACCAGAAGCCCTTACTGATTTCTGTCTAATTGAATTTTAAAGAGAACTGATGGAAAGCTCTCCAATTAGCACTCAGCAATTTAGCACAGAGCAATTAAAACAAATTAGGCAGGAAATTACCAAGGTAATGGGATTTAGCATTATAACCAGCATGGAGTGGATAATCTAAGGTTAAAAACACAAAAAGATGAATATTTTTATATGCTTTCTCTCTGGACATTACTCTCACGTGTCTTTAAGTCAAAATGAACCCATGAAGACGTTTTTTTACTAAGGATTTTTTTCTTCGAATTTTTTTTCTTTGAATTTTACAACAACTTTTTTCTTTGAACTCGAAAACAAATATGATGTAAGTAAAGGACTGAAGAAATAATATGATTAAAATTTTTACCAAAGATAATTAAATTTCTATGTCTACTATAACTCCCATATGAATATCATCCACAGTATTTTCATCTTAAAATACTACCATAATTCGGCTTTTGAATCAGCTTTACCACGTCACTTGAAGAAGAATACAGAAAAATGTAGCGAGAAAAAGAAAGGATTAGTGATGTTCTGTTAACGTGCTTAGGAAAGAATAAGGAAATGGGTTTTTCCCTCTACTCCACCTCCTCCCCCTCCTTTTTCTTTCTTTGTTTCCAGATCTAGGAACTTCTCATCCAGGATTACTTGTAGAGGACAAATTTATTTTATGCAATTGAAGTTCAAGTATATGCATACGAACTTCTTGTAATAAATATCACCACCGAAGTGATTATTTTGTCATAAATCAGAAAAAAAATCCTGAAATCTACAAATGCCACATAACTAAATATTATATAAAGTAAACATATGTATTCTTTTATTTTAAACTAGATGTCTATGATTATCGATGAAGTGACCTGTTTGAAAAAAAATTATGAAAAATTTATAATTGCATAGGTTTTTATTAGGACAGCTTCCCAAATTATATTCCACAGAGTGCTAATCCCTTGAGAAAAATCTTTAGAGGGGATTTCTGTGGTTACTGCTGAATATCACATCCTCTGGGACACTCAGGTGCACATTTGCATTTTAAAGGTACTGAGAAGTCTTGCAGTTAATAAACCTTTTAGCCCAAATGTTTCACACATTTATTTGAGCATTCGAAACTTTCTATCAATACCTATTCCCAGTTTATACTCTAGGATATTGTGCTACAATAATGTTTCTGCCTTTTTACACTATAATAAACCCTATTCCTTTGATCCTGAGTAGTTAAAAAAATGTGTCATGCTGTAGTCTAGTGTACTCACTTATTGGTTCAAAAAAAGTAAATATTTAAATGAAAGGTAAACTTTATCACAGAATTTTGATGAGCTTACATGTATTGACAGCCCTCTGTGTTATCAACCCATCACTGGGTGCTTTTTTTTTAATGTTTAATTTTTACAACAACTAAAAATCCTATGAGTCAGGTATTTTTCCGGTGTTATGGGAGAGAAACGTGAAATTCAGAGAAGTCCGATGAATTGCCCAAAGTCACACAGGTTAAAGGACAGACCCAAGATTCGAACCACGCCTACAGACAAAGCCCATGTTCTATCCTGTCTGCAAAATTGTGATAAGTACTTGGATGAAAACTAATAAATAACAGATGAGACATTTAAATGAGGCCATGAAAGACGAAATGGAATGTCTAAGCTATTAGAACATTTTTCATTAGAATCTTTTTATCTAGAAGCTAATAAATCCTTTTGCTAGTTTTCATCAAAAATCCAACCACCTAATGTGATATGAAGAGGTCTCCCTCGGGCCAAAGAGACATGAATTGACATAGTGGCAACAGTGTTAGCATCTATAGATGACCAGGCACTTATTTCTTTTTCAGTATTAAAAGTGTTACCTCTAGACCAGAGAACATCTAAGATCATCAATAACTAAGAATAGCTTTGGAATGAAAACCAGCCACCGGTGTCATTCAAAGTGGAGGGTAAAAGTGGCAGTGAGGTCTTAACCACAAATGTGTTTATGTGAAACAATGTCAATCCGTTTTACCAGCAAATAATCTTCAGAAGTCAAGAAAGTAAATTGTTTGTATTCATTTATCTCTGAGGTCTATAGTGGAAGAAACCTAATAGCTTTCTTATCTCACCTTTTAATACCCTTAAACACATCAAATTTTATTGCATTCTGTTTTGTTCAAAAACACTTTGATTTCTTTATTTATTTATTCATTTTGTATCTTAAAAAGAATACTCTCAGTGGATTATAGTAAAATTCCAAAAGTAAAAGCAGTCCTAAATAATAATAATTAAAAAAAGCATCATAAATTTCCAGGAATATTTATTCTAGTCCCAATATTTTTAAACATTCGTTTTCAAGTGACTTTATGTTTTAATTTAATAAAACATTCAAGGCAGTATTCAGAAGTGTCACTCCTGATTTGTTAGTAATATCTTTTTCATAGAATATAGTAATATAAAATATTTATATGCCAATAAGATTCATAAAAACTTGCAAAATCTCTCAACCAAGAAAACAAGAAAATATTAAGAACACATGCCTCTCTTACTAATATGTAGTTTTCACGCCTTCTGTGTATCTTCACCCCATGCTGAATTGCTTTATAATGAAAACCAACATTAGACAGGCTTCATCACAATACAGTAAGAGCCCCCTTCACTGGAAGGGTACGAACAATGGCATACTCTTTCTCATCATTCTTTTTTGATTAGAAACAACCACTTTTATTGCTACCTCTTCTATATAACTGGTACCGAGCTAGAGTCTGAAAATATCGAGATGAAAATTCACAATCCCCATTCCATCAGAAAGTCAAATTTAGCACTATTATAGGTTGAGTGATAGGAGAGTATTAAAGGGGAAAGAGAATAAAGAGAAAATTTCTGCCTGGGCTGGTCTGAAGGATCAGAGGATGTGTTGCAGGAGGTATTCTTGCCCTGAGCTTTGAAGCATGAGCAGGGAAAGGCTTATGAGGTATCTAAAGAAGAAGAAAAGCGCATGCAAAAGCCCAGAGGTCTGAGAGAAAATTGCACATTTGGCATTACGAAGGTATTCACCAGTGGCTGGGGCATAAGGATGCATTAGGCTAAATAATTAGACATATCTGGGTTTAAATCTCAGCTTTGCCATTTATCAGCTGTGATGCCTTGGGCAAGTCACGCTGAAATGGGAGAATTCCTATCAGCAAGAATGTTTGAGGCAAAGAAATGATATAATATGATATAAAGCCCTAGTGGCTTATAGCACAATCAGTAAGGGCTAGTAAAATGATGATTTATAATAAACATGGTAATTTATTATTAGTTTATGTTTTACCGGTTCATATCTCTGGCTCATGAGTTTTTAATTACAGGTTTGATTCTCACAGTATAGAGTCAGTCCGGAGGGATTTCAATTCTAACTACGCAGTTTATTCGCTCTGTACCTGGAGCAAGTCCTCAGATTGCCACTATAATGTAAAATGTCACCAATCACAGTACCTGCCTCGTAGAGCAGTTGTTGTGATTACATGAGAGAATATGTGTAAGGCTTAGCGCAGTATATGGGAGAGTAAGTAATACTGTTACCTGTCTTAGTATCTTTACTTCCTTGTTTATATTACCATTGGATTTATTTTTCTCCATTTTTTAAAAATCTGTTTTCAAATTATAAAGATAATATGAGCAGTTTTAACACTTTGAAAAATAGAAGTAGAAAAGTAATCCAAATACTCATAACATCAACATAACTATAGCATATTATTCTGGTATATTTTCTTAGAACCCATTCTCATTGTCATACAGTAATTTTTCCAGTGATAGACTTTTAAAACCATAGTCGAAACACATTGCACAGGCAACTTTGTAACCTTTTTTCTTTACTAATCATCATTATATCAGAAGTATTTTTCACCTTATTGATAGGCTTTACAGCCAGAATTTCAGTGTCTACATTAAAGTCCATTGAACGGAAGCATCGCAGTTTTCTAAAACAATCTCCTTTTGTATATTTAGGTTGTTTTTAATTTAGCATACACAGAAGATGTCCGGAGAAAAGTTGGTATGGGGCTAAATGAAGAGAGGGAATCAAAATACATAGGGACTGAAATTATCTGGGCCCTACAGTCTCAACTGCATCATTTCCTCTCAACTCTCAGTCATCGAGGGTGGAAGCAGAAAATGGATAGAAACGGAAAAATAAACAGCAGTCTATGGCAGAGTTTTGCAGGATGACCTGAAAAGCTTTTTATGCTATGTATAAGATTCCTCTCACGTCATGATATATATTGTCTTGTGTGACCTTTTTTTTTTTTTTTTTTTAGTATTCTCTGGGACTCCGGTTTACAGTTCCACGTCTCGAGAAGACAAACATGAGCATTAACTTCGATCTTCAAATCAGAAGGTTAGACCTTTAAATGCCTAACGCTCGGAATTAAAGGTCCATAGCGAAAGGAATGCTGCTGGTCAAGCTTCTTCCCCTTAAAAGTCCATCTGAAATTGGAACCCAGACTTTCACAGCCCATTTTATCTTTATTTTTCTCAGTTATCTCAGTTTTTTCGGTATTTTTCGTTCTGAAAAAGAGATGGCATTCTCTAGGCCAAGTTATGAGAGCGAAATTTTATCCTAGGCGCTGTTCCATGCTTTATTTTCCTTTTTCCTCATTTGGCCTCTTTGGCAGCTAGAGCTGAGGCCTGTGGGTGGCTGCCCCCTTTTACTAAGACGGATCCTGTTTGGGATTCAAGTGCGACTTTCCCCTTTCACCATCTATTCTATTCACTCCTTCATGGCGGGACAGAATGCTTCGTGAGCGAGAAGAGCAGTGTGCATGAGGAGCAGGCAGTCTCAACTGTGGACGGCAACCCGTGAGCCAGTAACGGAATCAATATAATCGCTCTTGACTCATATTAGAAGAAAAGGAAATTAAATGGAGTATATCTCAGAGTCCTGTTCGTGAGACTTTCCTTTCGGATTAACATAAATACGTACAGTGAGATACCCCGGGAGATGTGTGTGTTATTTTGTGGTCTGCGATTTTAGAAGGTTGAAAAACCCTGAAGCAGACAACACATGCAGGCATCCCGTCGGTATTTATAACTGGCCCAGCATGTTCTGATATAAAAATGACTGTGAAATCAGTATCTACAATTCGGGTCTCAAATACTGGTGTGCAGTGTGGCTAATCTCTAAAGGTACCTTCTGTCCTAGAAGAAGAAGGTGTCATTAGAGTGTGATGACTTTTAGAAAAAATTGTTATGCCCAGTGGATTATTTCTTAATAGCTACTTAATGAAAAGTTTAGGAATTTTTAAAAATTATATAAACTGTAAGAATGAAGGCGATTTCAAAAATCTGCAGCCTGTATCACAAACCATATCCTCTGAACTTCGTCCTACATTCCTAGGGAGAAAAGTTTTCTAACTTACTTTCAGTGTCCTTTACTGACCTTCATTAGGTCTTTTTTGAATGTGACCTAAATATTTTCTGCTGAATCTTAGAATTTTCTTTTTTACTCAAATTACTGATGCGTTGCAGACAGGATGAATTCTTCTGTAATATCCCTTCACTGTACCAAAAGCTTTTTAAATCCCTTTTTTTTTAATCTACATAAATGTATGTTTCCCCAAAGGTTCAGGTAATCGTAAATATTTTCATTTGGGAAATCTGTTAATATTTGTAAGATTTAAGAAAAGGACCACCCTGACAGCGGGCTGAAGTCTCCATTTCTCCCCATCGCTGTTTGAGACAATGATCCTGTGGGGGCAGGCCACACTCTGTCCCCTGGGGAAAGATACATCTCATAAAATATGCAGCCTTTATTGAGAAAGAAAGTCCGTTACAAAGGTGCAAAGCAAGTTCCTTGACGTTTCTTTCTTACTCTTGGATGCAGTTGCTGATAACAGAGGGGATGCCATTTCTTCTGTTAAAGGATGCTAAATGATGTCCTAAATACCTGCCCCAGATCCATCCTGAAGACCAGCATTTAAATAATGAATTTGGCGATGAAGTGCTAAATCTGACGGAAAGTAGAAATGGTCACATTTTTAACATCTCCCTTCATCTGAAAGAATAGGCCACGATTATATTCCATCCTTAAATGCTATAAAACTCATGACTGTTTTAACATGACCCTGAAAAATATGAAAATATAGAAGTGCAGAAAGAATTGGAGGGGCTACCGGAACATACGTAAAGTATCAAATCCCAAAAACGTACGTTACAGAGATAAAAGTATTTGAGAAGACTTTTAGTACTCGAATACTGAAGTGTTTGAGGAGCCAGCGTTCATGTGCATGCTCTGCTGGCAGACTCCAAAGATGTAAATAAGTATTTAATGGATGGTTTGCATCTAGTTTAAATGTGTTTAAACTAAAACTAAACTAAAGCAAATGCTCTGAAGTCAAAAGCTTTTGACCACATTGACCACTGTTACACACATTTAATGCCCTTTTCCACAAATAGACCCCAAAAGAAAATGGGCTTTATAAATTAATAAACGTAACATATTTCATGTTACCAAATATTTGCACTCAATGGTGTCTCCATGCTCTGGCTCTATGCGACACGTAAACATTTTCCTGCCTGGGTAGAGTGGGTCTCCAATGGCAGTTCCCATGTATACACATGTCTTTGTGATCATCACTGCAGCTGCTTTCTCGGTAATGGGGAAATTGTGTTGTGTTTGCTGACATTCCAAAGACCACAGAAAGCATAGCAGGAGTGCTAGGAAATAGGAAACAGTAGAGAAAAAGAAAAATTGCATTGGAGTAGTGAGCGGAAAACATGTTTATCCTTGGTGCATGACGTAGGGTGTAGTCGTGGAGAGGAAATTCATCGTGCCTCATATAGAAGCTAGCAGTGACAGTATAAATAGCTCAGCATCCAAGGTGGTGATGAAGTGCTCGTTTGTATGTAGCAGTGGTATTAGTGAGGGGGGTTTCCTTACCAGAAAGAGGTCAAAGAAGCATCTAAGTTCTATGTCAAGCCTGGTGGCTTTCTCAGTAGGAGATTCTGTTGATACCACTGGTTGCAGTACCAAGTGTCATGGTGAGCTTATGTGACAGGATAATTTTGATCAGCCAACCAGGTCTAGCCTGCTTTTGTTACACTTTAAAACAGTCTCTGGAAATCTCATGTTGGACTCATGTCCTGAGATGATTTCAGTGCTTGACATCTATTGACCGTTTCAGGGAGCTGTGAGTAAAGGAAATCATGTTGTTTGAACCACCTGCAAACAAAATGCTGAATTATGGGTTAACTTAAATGACACTTCTTTCCTCCGTAATTCTAATTCCCACTGCCACAGAGCAGTAGTGAACTAGAAAATAGAACAAAGTCGGTGTCATCTGTGGAATAACTAAACAATTTCCAAACTAAAGAGTTCCCCATAATGGATTTGAGACCACAAAGTCTGTGACAAGCGGAATTAGTTAATGACTTCTTAGTAGTTAGTAATTCAGAATCCCGCCTTTAAAACAAAACAACAACAACAACAAAAACTTTTTAGCTGACTAATCCTCCCCAGATGTGATAATGATAAAGTGGCCTGGAAACTGGGGTTCAAACTTTGGTGAACAAGTCCCTCTGGGCTCATCACAAGCTTAGCAGAGATACCCCATTACAGGAAATGAGCCTGACATTTGCCCGTTTATATCTTTTATGTGTGTTTGCAGTTTAAGTTGCCTTATCAGTATATACAATCGAACAGGACTTTTCAAAAGCCATGTGGGAACGGTTCTGTCTCCTCCTCCTTTGAAAGCAAACTTTTATCCAGCTCCCACATTTGGAAAGCTTCAAAAGCTATACAGAACATACACCCCATTACCATCACCGCGGTATTAGAGCCTGTTCATGGAATCCACGTGAGATTCGATAAGGAGAAAAGAGGCTTCCTCTTCCTAAATGAGCCCTGACTATAAACATGACCTGTTAGTGGTGGCGTGGCCACATCTCAGTTTGCTAAAAGCCGCATCGTCCTTCGGGATATTAGGGCGACTTCAGTGAAAGCACAGTAAGACAGTAAATGCAAGGGGGATCACATCCAAAGCTCATGAGACCCGGTCCATTTTCCTTACAGCACTGGCTGCTTAACATATGCATTTTTTAAAAGTTAAATTTCATATCTAATTATATTTGCTTGAAAGAAAGAAACAGCAAACTTGAAAATCATTTTGCCACTGTTCAAAAAAATACAATTAAGAGAGATTCTTGATGCATTTGACAAACATCCATGTCCTCTGCCCATTGCCTCTGCATGAACTGCCCAGCTTTGTCTGATGTCACTTCTTTTTGCCATCGGCCATGCTTCTGTTAGCCCCCACCCCCCAGTCAGCCAGTGAGCAGGCAGGGTGTGTACACGTATTTTAATATTACTTAAGAAGTAAACCATAAGGGAAGTAAATTTGCTGCCAAAACAATGTATGGTATGATGCATTCCAGAGCCACATGCAAATGTTTTTCCCTTATATGCCGCTCTTGGATTATTCTTGCCAGTCCTCCCCTTTATTAGCATGGAAAATCAGGAGTTGATTTGCTATCCTTTTCCATCTGATGGGCAATGAACATGATACACAGATTAGTTAAGGAATATATCCAAGGTAGATGCTGGAAAATGAACTCAGCTCACTGCCCTATGGGTTCGGCCATTGAAACAAAAGGTATTAGCTTTTCTGGATTTCTGTTGTGTTTTCAGATAAGGTGTCTCCTCGTGGAAAATTACTGCATTACTTTTGATCATGTAGCGATCAAGATAAAAATTTACAAGTGGTTATGATTTTGCAGAATGGATATGCCACTGTTTTCTAAATTATCATATTGGTCATGTGTGCTGCTCTTGTGATACATAGAATGTTTTTAATGATCATACGTTATAGTAACACATCTGAGAAAATACATTTAAATCATGTGTCATTGTTTTTAGTTCCAACAAGGACAACCCAGACAGCAATCTTGTGAGCCTACAAATCAACATCACTGCTGTCGCTCAAGTAGAAATAAGAGGGTAAGTAATAAGCAAGGTGTTGTCTTAGTTATGTTATAATAATAGCTTTGTGTATGTGAGAGCAATGATAAGATACTAGCAAAAACTACATGGGAGTTTCCTAATGCATTAGAGATGACAGTTCACTTTGGTCATAAATTTTCATTCTTTTCTATCCATTGTTAGCCTTCCATTGGAAAGCAGAGTAAACTCTGTAAGATAATTAACCCCAAGGATATCAAAACAAGAGCTCACTTTATTCCCCAAACTGACAGTTCAGTAATCAAACTATAAAAGCCAGTGATAAGAAGCCAGATAAAATAGACAACCATGTGATTTCCTGAAAGTCTCCCCTCTCCAGTAATTATTCTGGGATAATGAAAACTCAGCCTCACCATGCCACATCTTGAGTTTAAGAAATGGCTGACTCTTAGATGTGAGGGTTGATGGGAATCTACATTTTATCTCTTTTTCCTTCTGTCCTATTCTTTGAAGAAGGTGCCAATAAACAACTGATGGAGAGACAGGAGGTAAGTGGTCAACTAAAAGGCTTGGAATAACTACCATCTGGGAAATCCGTGCCTGGGGGCGAAAATAAATCAGAAATGGACTGCATGTCCTTCTTATCTTGCCCAAGTGTGGACTTCATTAATTTTCTTTTAATTCTTGTTTCTTCTAAACAATCAAAGTTGGCTAAAAATGTCAACTAGTCTTTTTTGGGCCAAATTGTTACTAGGATTCCAGCCTTCCCAGTTCCCTCTTCCTTTCCCATAGGTCCTGAGTGGGTCACACCCCTCCACGATGGCAACTATAGACTTCTGCACTCAGAAAACGCATTGTCACTATGCGTTTTCTCACTGCTGCACTCTGTTGCTCTCCGTGGGGGTGGGGAAGGCGTGTGCGTGTGTAGGAGATGCTCTATCCTGGACCACTGAGGCTCCACCTGGTGGATTAGAGAAGAAGAATAATACCTAAGGTTTACTGATTCTTTCATGTGCTATCCCAACATGTTAGCACATTTTAGTATGTACTGCTGTCCTCGCTGCACCAGTGAGGGAATTTTGGCACAGGGACTTGAAAGCGACGTAGCTAGGAAGTGAGGTCTAGAATATAAATACAAGCAGCCTGTCTCCAGGTGCATGTTTATAAATGATCATGCTCTACAGCGTATGAGAGTTTTTTGAACCTTATCTACACAAAATCTTATTTTATATATGCTTCTGTGATTTTGTTCATTCTAACTACATTGATTCATTCATTTTAACTGCAGAAGAGTATAACATTGTAAAACCATACCATAACTTATCCATTCTACTCTTAATGAACATTGGAGGGGGGTGCGGTTCTTTCTTTTAGTTTTTTTTTAACAAACTTTTTTTGTACATATCTCCTGGCACACATGTGGAAGAATATCAGAATGCTATATGCTTAGAGTATGTGTGTGTATATATATATAAACATATACATATATACATACATATATACATCTATATTTACCTACATACTGCATCTTCTTTATATATTTATTTATCGATTGACACCTAGGTTGCTTTCATATCTTGACTATTGTAAATAATGCTTCAGTGAACAAAGGGATATATATATATATCTTTTCGAATTAGTGTTTTTGTTTCCTTCAAATAAACACCCAGAGTGGAATTGCTGGGTCATATGATAGTTCTATTTTTAATTTTCTAGTTTTATATCACTGTGGTCAGAAAAGATGTTTGAAATGATTTCAACCTTCTTAAATTTACTGAGACATGTTTTGTGGCCTAACATGTGGTCTATCCTGGAAAATGTTCCATGGGCACTTGAAAAGAATGAGTATTCTGCTATTCTGAGTAGAATGTTCTATAAATATCTATTAAGTCCTTTGAGGTAATGTGTTGGTTAAGAGCAATGTTTCCTTGATTTTCTGTCTGAGTGATCTATTCATTGGTGTAAGTGGGGTGTTAAAGTCCCCTACTATTATTATATAACTGTCAATCTCTCCCTTTATGTCTGTTAATATTTGCTTTATATATTTAGGTGTTCCTATATTGGGTGTGTAGATATTTACAAGAGTTATATCCTCTTATTGGATTGATCCCTTTGTCATTATGTAATACTCTTCATTGTCTCCTGTTATGGTCTTTGTTTTAAAGTCTATTTTTTCTGATGTAAGTATTGGTACCCCAGCTTTCTTTTTGTTTCCATTTGCATACAATATCTTTTTTTCACCTTTAGTCTGTATGTGTCTTTCTCTCTGAAGTGAGCCTCTTATAGACAGCATGGTTCTTTCTTTATTGATTAGCCACCCTATCTATGTCTTTTGATTGGATCATCTAGTCCATGTACATTTAAAATAATTGTTGATAAATATGTAGTTATTGCCATTTTATTGTTTTCTCATTGTTTTTGTTGTCTTTGTCTGTTCCTTTCTTCTCTTGCTCTCTTCTCTTGTGCATTGATGACTTTAGTTAGTGATATGTTTGGATTCCTTTCTCTTTATTTTTGTGAATCTGTTATAGGTTTTAGGTTGGTGAAGCCATCGGAATCTAGAGTTTGGGGGTGGTTTTATTTGTCGGTTGGTTGGTTTTTGGCTTTTTGTTCTTCTAGGAAGGGTTTTAACAATTCAATTTAATTCTTTGATATAAAGCTATCCATATTCTCTAATTCTACTTGAGTGAGCTTTGGTAGTTTGTCTTTCAAGGAATTTGTCTATTTCATCTTAGTTGTTAATGTTTTGTGTATAAAGTTGTTCATAATATTCTTTCATTTTCCTTTTAACATCTGTAGGACTTCTGATTAGGTCCCCACATCACTCTCAATATTGGCAATTTGTATCTTTTACCTGCCTTTTTTTTTTCCCCTCTGGTCAGTCTGGCTAGAGTTTAGTGATCTTTTCAAAGAACCACATTTTGGGGTACATTGATTTTTTTCTTTTTTTAAATTAGTTTTTTGCTCTTGTTTTTGTTTTCTATTTCATTTGTTTCTGTTTCTGTTGTTATTATTTCCTTCCTTCCGTTCACTTTGGGTCGGGGTTTCTCTTCTTTTCCTCATTCCTCTATGTAGAAATTAGTTCATCGATTGGAGATCTCTCTTCTTCTCTTATATAAGCGTTTCGTGTTCTAAATTTCCCTCTAACAACTGCTTTAGTAGCATTCCAAAATACTGATATGTTGGGCTTTCATTGTAACTCAGTTCAAAATATTTTCCAATTTCCTTTGTGATTTCTTCTTTAACTCATAAGTTGACTCATAGGAAGTGACCTGTTTGATTTACAGATATTTGGAGCTAATCTAGATGTTTTATTTTTGTGCATTTCTAATTTAATTTCATCCCTCTCTTTATGAGAAAAACACTATTTTAAATAACAAAAGAAAATGCAAGGATTATTTTTATGATCTTATTTTTATAGCTTTCAAAAAATCAGAACTGGCGTATATAAAATTTGGTCTCCTTTAAATGTAGCCTATCTTCATTTTACTCACTACAAATAAATGGAAACTGTTTAATTCCAAAATAAATTTTAAATTGGGAACTGTTTTTATTCCACAAGTCATAATTCAGTCCAAGGCAATTAGGGATTAATGTAACTGTATTTATCCTCGCATATTCATTTTATGAGATTAATATTTTAAAGTATTTCTCTCATCACTTATGGCACCAATGTTTCTAAGTAAAAAAGTAGGAAAATTTCTATTCATTTTGCCAATAATCGAAACATAATTATAATTAGGTTTCTGAGTGTAATTATTTTAATTGCTAGGTTAATGTTCCACAATTGACCATAATTTTTTCTCTAAGAAAAAATTCTCTAAGTTAAAATTCTTTTTAGCCATTTCACCAAGTAAAATTCTTTCCTCCAAATACTGAGCAAAAACATTAGTTCTAATGTTTAAAACTTAACAAATAGCTACTGTGTTGAAAATCTTCCATGTTTGGTCGTCAGGAAAACCTAATTTTCTTTTTGACCGATGGTGTTTATTCCAATGTATGTTATCATGCACTATCTCTAACAGTAATTTTTAAAAATTTACCATTGTTTTTTTTTTTTATTTCAAAAATAAATTCAAATGGATTTATTTCTTTGAATGGGAAAAAAATATTGAGAATCATTTTTAATTTTTAAAAATTTACCATTGTTTTTTTTTTATTTCAAAAATAAACTCAAATGGATTTATTTCTTTGAATGGGAAAAAAAATATTGAGAATCATTTCATTTGTTTCAAAGCCAGGTAAATTCATCACTGTCTTTAAACAGATTTATATGTCACTTGCTGGTATGAAGTATTAATTTAGTATAGGCCTGTAAGAAGTAAACTTAGCCACAAGAAGCAACATCACATATATTAGGATCTCGAAGAATAATAAAATGTTATCTTTTATTAAGTAATCAGGATTGAATGGGTTTGTATTAAAAGAGCCTACAATCATGAAAAACCATTTTCTGCATAGATACTGTCAACAGCAGATAGAGCCAACACTGTTCCATACAATAGATGGTAGTTGTTACTTTTGAAACTAACAAGGATTGAAATCAAGGTTGTTAAAATAGGGTTCACACCATACTAGCACATCATCAGATTTGAACTTCCTGATGGCATACAGACTTTCACTTATCAGAAACCTTATTCATTGCTTTCCCTCAATGTCCAGTGTTAGCATCGAGTACCCCCAATCTTCTTATTACTCGAGGGTCTTTGTGGAATAATGCTCTATCCTTTATCTTAGAAAGTGAGATCGATTCGGTAAGGGTTGTTAGGTTATTGCACTGGCTGTTCTTCCAGGGCTAGTTAGTTAATGAGATTCTTTTTCCCTTTCTTCTTAAAAACAAAAACAAAACAAACAAAAAAAACTTTGGGAATAGTGAATAATGCTTCATTTATTTAATTGGGATCTTTAGAGACCCATTCTTTGTCATGGTTTCCCCAGATTTGAAAAGGTCTTCAGAGATTAGATAGGGTGAATTTTGAGAGTCATACTTTTTGAATGATTTTCCCATGCCCTGTGATGGGTTTCTTCATAGATTTTTACTTGATTTTGTCATAGAAGAGGGTGAGAGGTGTCAAGTTTGTACTAAAACCCTTGCAGCTTAGTGGTACATTGTATATTGGAATAGAGTAGATGGCACTGAGTAAGCCAGAGCTATAGTCTTCGCCTGTAACTAATCTCCTACTTCCCTGGACATCAGTTTTCCTTTCATTTATAAAATGAGAGATTCTCAGCACAATGTCTCCACAGTACCGGCCAAGGTCTCAATTTATGATGCTATGGTCGTGGAGGATTTAGGACCAGTGCTACAGGATTGGTGAGCATAAGAACAAGAACAACAACAACAACAACTAAAAAAAGGTTTTCCTAGAGCCTCACGATGGAGGCAGGACTGGAGTCAGCTCTCTGCCACCAAGCTAAGGAGCTAAGAGCAAAGTGAAGTTTTGGGGGGTGAGGGCATCAAGACTCCAAGCTCTCTGGGCATCTGTCTGATGAAAGCAACCTTGACGCCATGTCCTGAACGCTTCTCCTCACCAAGTCCCCCACTTTCGATCTAAACAGATTTACTCAATGCAAGTAGGAAAGGAGTACGTGGCAAACAACAAACCTCTTTAAGGGTAGAGAATGTTGAAGCATCTGCCCAGAAAGGCTGAGCCCTGCACTTTTTATTTTAATACTGACACAGTAAGGGTGAAGGCAAAGGATGGGTAAATTGTTTGCAATTCAGTAACATTTCCATGGGTTTTCAGTTTTAAAAAACGTACCTTTCCTCCCCACCCCTCGAAGACAATGCAGGCATATCAACTTTAACCAAAAGCATTTGAGACGTTTTCCAATTATTTGTGGTATACGACCCAAAAAGTTTATAATTTTCTAGATGAGGAAGTAGAGACATACAGACATTAAAATATTTTCCCTTGGGTCAGAATTTAACCCAGTAAAGTTTACTTTCTGGTTTAGAAAGAGATAATGTTTGAAGTTGCTGGAAGCTGTGTTAATTACTGGATACTCATAAAAGGGCATTTAAGACATCTAATTGCCAAAAGAGATGTCTTCTGTTGAAGTCATTTTTAGCTGAAAGTCTAGGAATTCTTTTAAAGATATCTTTTAGCCAAAAACTGCTAGAAAGCATTGTGGGTTTGAGAATTATGTTTTTAAAGATTTTGTAAAAATAACGATTATGTTTGTAATCCCCTTTTAATATTAGAATAGTGCTTTCATCTAATGCTCACTCTCTAGGTGTAAGTTCCAGAAAGATACCTATATGTCAAGTTAAAATCCTACTTACACGATTGCACCATTTAACTCTCTCTCACCCTTGAGTTATCTATAAGACAGCTCTAGAACATAAACGGGCTTTATTTTGTTTTGGCTCCAGGCCTGGCCTTGTGAGAGGTATGGCCGAATTAATGGGAAGTCAAAGAAATCCAAGAAAGAAGAAAATACAAGTGGCCATTTTTCTACTATGAAGTATTTAACTGGAAACTATATTTCTTCACAACTGGACATTTACCATACCACACAGAATTATTTTCACTCACTCACCAAAAAAAAAAAAAAAAAAAAAAAGTCCCATTTTTTCTTCATATAGCTTACTTAAAGTAGGAGTTATATATCCTGTACACACATACACACACACACACACACACACACACACACACACACTCTCTCTCTCTCTTTCTTACACTTAAACAGGATGTATAAATAAACATATATTCATATATGCATATTTAACATATATGCATATGTTAAATTATCCATCTCAACTCAGGAACACTCTGCTCTGCCCTCTAGTGCCCAAGATGAGATGCTCTAAAACAGTCAATCTCTGAGCGAGAGACCAGGAGTTAAAAGTCTACAGGGCATGCCTCAGACCCTTCCCTGTTCCTTCAGTTATTTTGCTGAACACCCCTTACAGCCCTTTTCTCCTTATAGGCAATATCTATTCAAATAACTCGAGATCCACGTTTTCCTGCCGCTGTTGCACTGCACACTAGTGAAACACACTTCCCGTGTGCCGTCGGCAGCAGTTAATGTATGATTCCATGTTTCAGAGTCTCCCACCCTCTGCAGATTGTCCTGCCCATCCATAACTGGGCACCGGAAGAGGAGCCCCGCAAAGAGGAGGGAGTTGGACCCTTGGTGGAGCACATTTATGAGGTAGCTGTCATCTCTGTTGAAGTTGTGTTAGGGGTCTCTTCTTATGCTCTTTACTAACAAACTCCTCCTAGCATTTTAGGAGACACCAGTACAAGATCTGAGCTTGATATAGGGTCTAGAGTTGTGCTGTCATGTGCTGGTGGGGTGTCCTGTTAAGTACCCACCATACGGTCATTTGCTTTTCGGTGACGAGAGCCCTTACACAGTGAGAAACATTTTACCTTGTTACTGTTACTCTTTTTTAAAAATGTTCTTTATTTTTTCTCTTTTTAATGCTTGGAAAGCCTAAGCATAAAAGTGACTATCTTCCTAGACTTTATTTCGCTCCTTCCTATAATTTCAGATATCCTTAAAATCCAGCCACCTCGTGAACTGAGGGCTACCAACAGAAAAGTACCAGAGAAAATTTTATAGATTATTCGCTATTTTACCAAGAAATGCTTACATTATATATATGGTGGGTGGACGGTAGATAGATAAGTATAACCTTACTGTTCATTCAAATGACCCAAATTAGACGTGAATAACTAATTCCGAGATTTGAAATAGTCTGTTGATTACTTTCCAGAAGCAAACAAGAGCTTATAAATAAGCCTGATGACCTTTTCCCCTTTCAAGTGTTAAATTGTGAGTAGGGAAGAACTTTGTTGATACATCATCTGAAACATTTAAATTTTTTACAGTTAGAGACGAAGATATAGTAAAAGGGTTAGTTTTGTACTTGTTCTTTTTTCTATTGTTTAAAATAAAGTCAGTACTCTCCGTGGAGAGAGTTATTCCTGTCCATTTTCAAGGGACCAGGGGTGGAATTCTGTTAAAAATATTGTTCCAAGCCATTTTCCATCTGAGATACCTTCTTGATTGATGCCCACTGTCTCTTTTCTATGTAACTCATACCACTGACCTAATAATTCTATGACTTTCATCTTAAATAACATTCTCTGCAGTTAACAATAAAGCCATTTCAAAAGCGATGAGCTCTTTATGTAGATAGGAAAGAAAAATCAACTCCTGGGCAGTGTCAACACGGAAACCTCTGTCATCTGCCCATCCTGCACTCAGAATCAGGAGCCCTGCCTGAAGCTGGATCAAAGCTTTGCCTTAAGCTCTCTTGATAGCAAAAGGATAACAGTGCCCAGGGCCACCTGGATTAAGAACTACACTGGGAAAAGAAAAAGGCTGTTGAATAATTTATTGAAACTGTGTGTATCGGTTTCTGTTTCAGAATGCTGAAACTTTACAGTTTGAAAACATATTCAAGTTCAATCATTCTCAGGGCTACCCTGCTTCTAATCTCAGCACAAATAGATCACAAAATGCTAGCTTAACAGTCAATAGTGCCAAAAGCAGTCAATGGATGCTTCTTATATGCTAATCTCACGTCTCGAAATATACTGTTATCAATGGATGCTATGTTGCTTTGTCAATTAAATGGGCCACCTAGTAAGGAAAACCAACTATAAATTGTTTTATTGACCATGATAACGGTCAGAACTGTGAAAAAATACAAACGATCCCTGCTATCTTTGAATTTTAAAAATTCATAGTAAGTTTAAATATCCTTAGTGGTTTTCTTTTCACAAGCCGTTTAGTGTCCCGTGAGTACAGGATTCACGTGTTTAAAAGGTTCGTCTCTTTACGAGATGTAGTCTTTCTTTCCTTGAGATTCACTGATTAAAACAGAAGGAGCTCAGCTTTGAAATGCACAGTTGACGTGAACTGTGGTGAGCCCGGGGCCTTTGGCGTTTGATGGATAGCCATTTTTCCAGAGGGTGAAAGAGAGTGCATCACATATGGTTGCAATTGGCAAGTCAGTAGTCAGGAAAGAGGCAATTTCAATGTAAAGAAAGAATAACTAGGTTTTGAAAGCATATAACTCGAATTGCATTTCTAGCACTGCGATTAAATTAATATAAATTTAAGGTGAGCCTCGCACTGACCGGACATGGTTAGTGTGGCTGTCGCGGAGGGAATCTGCCCTTAGAACCGCAGAGATCGAAGAGTCTTCTCTAAGCACGTCTTGCTTTCAGAGCTCCTCCTGCTTATGAGACTCTGTTTCCTACTTTCCACAGTCACAGTCCAGATGACTCAACACTAAAAATACATGCTTTATAGAATGGACATGGAGTATGTGGGGTTTGATATCGTCCTGCTGCCTGTGCTGTGCCATAATGTGATGTGTCCCTTGCTTGTAGCTGCACAATATTGGACCAAGTGCCATCAGTGACACCCTTCTGGAGGTGGGCTGGCCATTCTCTGCCCGGGATGAATTTCTCCTTTATATTTTTCATATTCAAACTCTGGGACCTCTACAATGTCAAACAAATCCTGATATCAACCCACAGGATATAAAGGTAGGAGCCTGGTTTAACCAGCAGCTTTGTTTACTTTTTATGGTTAGGAAAAAAAAAAAGTGGCTTGTAAAAGAAAGCAAAGCAATTATAAGTTATTTCCATGATAATGGATCAGAACTTTTGTTTTAGTTTTATAGTTACAAATACCAGACCTAACTTACAATATCATTCCCAGAAAACTTAAATTTCTCTTAGTGTTATTGCTCACAGTGACCTGTTATTTATTTAGCCTGTTTTAATACATACTTTTTATATATGGTTTGATGAGCAGCACAACCAGACCAAAATCATAGATATGTCATGTTTTGGAAAATTTGTACAGCATGCTATTTTTAAAGCCTTTTTGGTATATTGCCAAAAGTCAAGAAGATCTTGGCCAAAATGGCTTTTTGCCAAAAGCAAGTGGTGACATGTGATAATTCGCCAAAGGCCATCTCAGTGCCCTGAGAACCCACAAACTGTAATTTTCAGGACCCTGTTCTTTACTAAAGTTTATAGAGAAGCTGAGAGCTGTGCTTCTCAAACTCTTAAGCGTATCAGTATTACCTGGGACTCTAGGATACAAGTTCCGGAGTGGGGTCTGAAATTCGGCCTCTCTGCAAATGCTCACCTGATATCCACGTGGCTGGTTTCCTGGTCATACTTCGGCTGAGGAGGAAGCTATAGCATCCATGGAACTGATCCCATCCAGATTGAGATCCAAATTTGGCATTAGAATCATTCTAGAAAGGAAAGAAATTAATTAGCATAAGCCCTTGAAAATGTCACATGTGAATGAAGAAGGAAAAAACAAAACAAAACCCTTGTTAATCAGATGCTGTCCTCACAAGAGAACTGTATTTAAGAATGAACGTTCTCTAGTGGCTACGGGGACACAGTGTCTCCATGAGAAATGGTGCAGAGGGCAGGCTTCATGAAACACTCACTCAACCACCCAAGACACAGGCCTCTACTCTCAATCCAGGGCACTGGGATATTGCCTGTTATGAAAGGCTTCCTTTTATCAGCAAAATATGCTTTCTATTCAAAAAGAGGAAGACTAAAAGGAGAGTTCAGTATGAAAAGATTTATGGGGCAACAAGTCTCCTTCCTTACAGGGTCATAATAAAGAAGCCCATTTGTATGCCACAAAATTATTTAAAATACTCCCTCCTTGGAATTTTTCCCCATTTCCTCTCTCTTTGCTTTTCATTGAAATGATTTTAACGTCTTCATAGACAGTAGCTTTTTATAAAAGAACGTCTTCAAATGGTAATGTGTAACACTGAAGTAATTAAAACATTCACATATCCTGTTCTCCAGTTAACATATACTTGTATTTCAGTCATAGATTCTTGGAGCTCATGATTGCGCAGAAGGTCTCTAACTTTCTTTGAGTGTAATGTTTAGTTTATGTCTGACACTATTTATATATGTTTGTATATATTATGTAACTTGTTTAATGTGCACCATGATGGTTGCATTTTTTTTCTTTGCTGCAATTTAACAATCATTTATAGTGCCTGAAACAGTATGAGTAGATAACTTACTTTAAACATTGACAGATTCATGCAAAAGGGTTGGTGCTATATACTAAACACCTGTATTTCCTAGTATCCAGTTATTCTTTAAAGTATAGACTTTAAAAATCTGTCTGAGGTAATTTTTTTAAAGCAACTTAATTAGGCTCCTTTTGTAAAATTCTCAACCTGTGGAGTCAATATAAGAAGACTTGATTACAAGATGAAGTAATAGCTCCCTAAAATAACTAATTATAAAAATTTATGAGTTCTTGAAATTCTGAATTCGTGGACCACTTGAAGTGTTATTACTTTCAGGTTCTCAAAATGCTTTTTATCTATATTCAATCTGCATGACCCAGAGAGTCTAAAAGAGTTTTTATCAATAAATGCATTTTTAAAAATTTTAATCAATATATTTTATATCAGTAACTATAAACAATTGAGAGTACTTGAAGGTTATTTTCCTCTTAAGATATTAAATAATTTCTGGTGAAGTCATTAGTAATTCACTTGGCAATATTCTTCTTTCTAGATAACTCAGAGCTAAAGTCTATTTTCTGTCTATAATTGTTTAGTACATCTTGTTATCTTCAAAAGAATATGTCGGGGACATTTTAAAATTTAATATCAATTTCAGATTCTTACATCAAAGCTAATTGCTAGATTTTTTTAATTGAGTATAGATGGTTTTACTTTTAACTATAGTTTTGTTTTTTTTTTTTTAAGAAGTAGAGAGAGGGTAGATTTAGTAAAAGGAACAGAGGATGCAGAAATATATTTGTATAGGCAAGAATTAAATCCCAATATTAACTATTACCCACCGAGTAGACTAAGGTAAAATTCCTTACTATTTGGTTCTATAATTTCTTTATGAGTTGAGCTGTAGGTGGTGAGTGCCTCTTAAAACATCTGCCTCTGTGAGCAGTCCATTTTCAACAAACCCTTTCTGAGCATGCTCCAGTCCCCGCTGAACTAGGCACCAAAACACCCCAACTGTCAGAGGAGGAACTATAGCCCCGATTTTCAGAAGCTTCCTCTGGAGGATTTGCCAAGTTCCCTGACTACTACGTTTTCCTCTCCAACCATTCAGTTGATTTCCTTTCAGCAAATTTCCTTTCTCTCGTGTTCACATACACTTTTTCAGTCAACTTCTCCTTCCTGGATATATTCTCATTTTTGCCCACTTACCACTGAAAGTAGCTTCCTCCTTCACTGCCTCTTTCCAGCTCTCACAAAATTCTATGCAAAGTTGCTTATGAAAAAGAAAGCATCAGATTTCCTCGGAAACATTTTCTAGGGCGCCCACTCCAAGGAACCAGTGCCACCAATTCTAAAACTTTGGAAATTCCCCAGATAGCCTCTGCAGACTCTCCACAACATTGTCCTCGAATTAAATCCATCAATATTTAACATAATGTACTTAAAATAATGATTTTTTTTCCTATTTTTTAAATTACTCATACAGCAACCATTCTGGCTTAATTTTTAATTGTAAATACATAGTTTTATGCCTCAAAGCCATATTGTGGATAGAGTCGATTTCTCTGTGGTCTGGCTCGAGAACTGGACCACCATTTAAAATATCATTTCTAAAGAGAAATAAATGCTGAGTGCCAAACATCTAGTCTAAAATCTTCTGAAATACAACCCGTCTGTAAATTAAATATGTATTCCAAATGTGACTCTCCTCACACAGCCTCGAAGTCCGGAAAGGCATCAACAGGGTTCAGTTTTCCTAACAATATTTGATGCAGTTCAGTTACCCCAGCAAGCCGCCTTCATGGCTGCGAGTTTTGAAGAGCCAACGCTGACTGCCTCTGAAAGCGACTACCATGAACACTCTGTGCCCTGTGGCTGTTCTAGGAGATGATGGACGAAAGATCTCACCCACGTTCTCCTCATTTGTTGCCCCAAAACAGAGCATCAACAACCACATTAGGATGGGGGAGAGCGGGGGAGGTCGGCAAGGACCCACTGAAATGCCACTAGAAGTTGATGAGTTTTTATTTAACGACTTGCCTCACAGCAGGTTTCATGGGGATTTGCTTAGCCTGCTTTGTTGACACTGTTCAAACATCCAACTGTGAGGGGCAGTGGAATCATGGGTGGATTGTGGGGTGAGGAAGAGCTGAGTGGGCTGCCCAGCCCCTGGCAGTGCCCCCCGATCAAGCCAGCATGAGGGGGTGGCACAGCCTTGGGCTCATTCACTAATGCTTTCACGTTTGCCGCCCAGTGAAAAGGTTGTCGTCTTTGGTTGTCTGTGACGGCTTCACCTCATGAAGGCCATTTCTGTGTCTTCTATAAACTTAGCATCATAAGCACATGGCCATGAAGTTTCTGCCTCCAGGCTTGATGGTCCAGGTCAGGGGCAGAGGACTTTAATGTGGCGGTTTCTCTATAGTCTACCATCTAAAGCATTTTGAAACAGTCAACTGTCTGCAGCATTCAGACCAATCCATTAAATCTAATTTGTTCCAGATCCTTCTTGGAATAAAATTTTAGAGTTGAGTAAAAGATTTCTCAACTATTCGAAAGGCAGTAAAATAATGATTTCAAACTACCAATTTTCTAATTTTGGTGGAGTCTGTTCCTGAGGTTTGGAGAGTCCTTCAAACAGGCTATGATTTCTAGATAAGATGAAGTTGAAAAAGTAAACACTATTCAGGAACCAAAGTGCACAGAGAATAAAGGAGTTTTTAAGTTGGCAAGGCTTCGGAACGAGCGGCCAATTGCGAGATGCTGGGAGAACGGGCGACGGCATGTGAGACTGTTCTCAGGAGAGGAAGATGGAGGAGATGCTCAGATGCAACCTGCGTTAAATCACAATACGACATTCTGGGCCCGAGCTCAAGAAAGATCGCCGAGGTCGAAACGGTCTGACAGAGAGCAGACCAGGGCAGCCATCTCGCGACAGAACACGCTGTACAAGGAACTGTCTTGGGAGCCATGGAAAGCTGGAGGTTACGACTGAGTGAGACCTTGTCCCTTGAACAAGACAGTTCTCGCAGGAAGTCCAGATTACAACCAGGGAGTACACGAAGGCAGAAACATGGAAACTGTGCCTCAGAGATTATAGCCCTGCAAATGTTTTTTTTTATTTTTTTATTAGTGGAATCAGTGGCTTGGCTTGGCGAATTTGCATACTTTTGTCTTATCCTTAAGAGGATTTTCTTCCTTCGTAACTACCTCCATTTATTTACTGCTTCTTCTTTATTCAGAATACAAGAAGACTTGTCACTTCCTCAATCAACAACCCCCAACTCTCTCTCTCCCCACTCCTGCCCACCATACTCCCTCTGACAGAGGAATTCCATTCACTCTTTATTTTTTTAACAGTGCCCAGAGGTCCAACTTTTGGCCACCAAAGAGAATACACTCTCCAGGGTCCGTTTCTCTTTGCCTTATCTTCTCTGTAAGATGGTCTTCAGGTTCTCGTATATATTTTAAAATGTAAAACATATGTCCGACAACTAAGAAAAGCTTCAAAATCACCAATGG